AACAATAAACTAAATTCTGCACATATTAAAATAACAATGCAGGTCTGTAAGCACCTATAAAAGCATTTGATGCATTCATACATCTTTAAATATGTCTGCTTTTCACATTTTTGGAGATGTGTAATATTAAATTTAAAATTAAAATGGCAACCCATTATGAGGTAATGTTATTACCGTATTAGTTTTAAATACTCTCCAAACAATATTAGTGTTTATTGCAATAATTTCACAGACAACTTATCTTCCAGCAAAATTTGTCATTGTGACAGGCCTAGTGTGCCAAGGCCAAGGTTAACTACGCCGGTAACACTTTCTTTTATGGTACCCTTATTACCATGTAATTACAAGGTAATAAAGATAATTACTTCCTTATTACCATGTAATCACAAGGTAATAAAGATATTACTTCCTTATTARCATGTAATRACAAGGTAATAAAGATAATTACTTCCTTAWTACCATGTAATCACAAGGTAATAAAGATATTACTTCCTTATTATCATGTAATTACAAGGTAATAAAGGTAATTACTTCCTTATTACCATGTAATTACAAGGTAATAAAGATAAATACTTCCTTATTACCATGTAATTACAAGGTAATAAAGATAAATACTTCCTTATTACCATGTAAATACGTGGTAATTAGGGTACAAAAGAAAAACTACTGTTAGTAAAACTTCCTTTATTGGGTAACTACAATCAAATTACTATTCAATAGTAACTCAACACTATATTTATAACCAAAAGAATGCAACTAAATTTTGGGGTTAGTGGTTAACTGCAATAAAATATCAATTTAAAACTGTCCAAATTACCTACTACTTATTTAGGTGCTATAGTGAATTGTAATACATTGCCAGGTAAGTGCTACATTACTGCAGACAATTAATTATATAGTAAAACTGTACCACAATTACCACATAATTACATGGTAATAAGGTAGTAATTACATTTAATTACATTTTTATTACCTTGTAATTACATGGTAATAAGGGTACCATAAAAGAAAGCGTTACCACTACACCAGCTGCAATTTCTACAAACAAACCAGATGCTCGCTCTGCTTCGTTATCGTGGAAGTCATGTGTGTGTTTGGTTCGTCTCCATTGTCACATTTTAATAGATGAAACGACAAACGAAAGGAACAACACACACACTGGATGCCCACACAGAGACACGGGGTGAAGAGATACAGACGAGCCGCCCACACGGTCTTGAATGCTTCTGTCCGTCTGTTCAACCCACACCATCAGATCACAAAAAACCCCACAACCTGCTGGGCCTTCTTCAGCAGCCTCTAACCCACTTGTTCTCAGATCCAACATCCTTTTCATAGACCCTGATGTGTTTGAGTGACAAGACTGGGGGAAAAAAAAGTAAAAAAAAAAAAAAAGAGAGAGAGGTCCTCTTCCATAAATACCATGTCAACACAAACGACACAAGCTTGGAGAAAGAAACAAAGAAAACGTGATGGAAGACAGAACAAGCAGCAAAGAAGAAGTGCACTGAGGCTGCTGTGAGTGTGAGAAGTGACGGTGATAAACAGGGTGATTTATGCAAGCCGAGCACTGCAGCTAGGTTCTGACTCAGAACACAGCTTTATAATAAGATACTCATGCAAACGATGACTTTGTCAATCATGACCTGATGTACAGTCAACCCCACCCACCCCAAGCCTGTCAGGGGGGGAAGAGAGGAGAACTCGTCACGTGCAAATCTTGGAAGAGCAGAGAATGCCCTCAAATCTGTGCCCTGCATCTGCTTCAACATGTGTCCTCAAATAAGCTCTCTGTTGCATTACATTTAACTAAAAAAACCCATCACAACCTGAGCTGGAGCAAAGCACATTAAAATAAAAATCACAGTGAGCGCTGGGATGAAGTGAGAAACCTTTCTGGAGCTCAGCGGATCACCCTTCACTGTCGTCACACAACAGTCCACTGTCTGATGTGGAGATAAGCGAGAGGAAGCGACAGCTTTGATCCTTAATGGGGCCATGTCGGCTCTGTGGAAATGACACCCATGCCTTGTATTTACACTAGCACAATTATGGAAGCAATTCTGGCGGTGGACAATCAATTAGAGTGAAACTATGTCTGAGCAATAACACAGATTAAAGGAGAGGTTATGGCTGAATGCTGTTTGGGGTGTCAGAGAGCAAAACAGGAGTCTGGTTAATAAGCCTAAGGGAAAAAAAAATGCCGTTAGATCTCCCAAATCAGCAGCTGTCAAYCTTCTGAGCAGAGGTCATTTTAGCCCCTTTAATACCAAGTCACATCACAATTCATACTCAATGTCTTGAATTAAAATTCAGATCTTTTCAAAAGTGAAACATTATGATTATAACTTACCTGTTGTAGACAGCTCTTTGAACAAACTCAGTTTGCAGAATTAGTGTTTAATTTATGACGTTGAAACATTTGATCTGTGTACTGATTTGCAAACAAAAATAGCAGCAGCCAGCGGTAGCCCTTTCTGTGCAGCAGAAATTGCTAGGTTTCAGATGATGTAGTATCGATTTCATGAAATGCAGATAGGGGGGCAGGAAGTAAATGAAGCCATGTTTCCTGCTGTTGATTCAGTGTCAAAATGCCTAAATTGTGTGTCGTGTACATTTGTTGCAGCCACTCTAATCAGGAGAGATATCAAAGTTTTTTTTTCATGTTCCGAAAGCAGTGTGTCACAAAGGAGTTCAATTTTAAAAACTTGCAGAAAAAACAGGACAAAAGTGGATCAACAATCTACGGCTGAAAACAGGATGTATGGAAACGAACAATGCAACAGTTTGCAGTGACCACTTTATAACAGCTCAGGATCGTATCGTTTAAATCATATTGTCAGATATTTTACTGGATAGTTACTTGAATTTGGGTTTACAGAAGCTAAATAAATTATTTGCAAGTAAATCCAAGCACATAGAAATAACAGGAGTTAACTTGTTGTTAGCGTTAGCATTGTTATCATAGGCTGACTACTTGAAATAGCACAACTCACCCAGGCAGGAAAAAAAGCAACAGACATTTAAAGTTTCTTTGGATCCTAAATGTTTGATCCAACCTGAAACTAAATAATTGTAGCTCTGAGGCTTTTGAAAGCTTTTATCTGGCTCGTCGTAGCCTATAACACAAGGTCTGCAGCACCAAATAGTGGTTTATGTTGATCGCCTCAACACAGGATGAATCCTCCAGATTATATAATGTGTTTTTTTATTAAGATAACATGAATCATATTTCAAATGTACGCATATTTTTTGTGATATCTTGTCTGCGCCAGTCCATTTAGGGCATTAGCGTACTCGCTGTGATCCATTTTGCTGTGTTTTGAATCAGAGCAAATCTCGTCTTTCAGGTCATGTGACTGCAACCCAGCAATATACGTACTTCTACCAGAATGACTGTGACGTGAAAACGGAAGATGTTAAGTTTCATAAAACTGTTTATATGAGCTGCTGTAACATTTTTGAGATTTGAGTTGCTTTTCAAACCCACTTTTGTCTTGGCCTGGCTCAGTTAGCTCATCCGTCTGGTCATAATTAAACTGTTTCTCCAAACGTAGGTCATATGAAGAGCTTTCTGCAACAGGTAAGATATTAAGTGTTTGTAATTTTTTTACAGTACCCCCACCTCAAAGGATCTGAATAAGCCCATTTGTTAAGTAAAAATACATCTTTACTTAGCAGAAAAAGTAAGGACATTTGTGTTTGGTAGACTATTTCTTTGTTGCAACAAAGCTTCTTGGTAATAAATCTTGTACAGGGCACCTGATTGGCAGCACCTGGGGGTACCAGAAGCTCAAAAGCCTCAATTTCAACAGCAAAACAAGACATTTGGCAGAGAAGAGTTGGCAATTTTTTCAGCTCTACTGCTGAACCCACAAATGCATGTTCCTTACAAATGTGACATCATTTAAAATGGAAATTAAKAGGCTTTCCAACACTATAAGATTTATTGCCAAGAAGCATTGTTACAACAAATAATCTACCAAACTAATGTCCTTACCTTTTGTGCTAAGATTAGTTTACTGTGAAAAAAAAGGTAAGGTAGCACTGAGTTAGCATCTAAAATCAGGAGTTGTAACTGGGACTGAAGAGCCATTAGTACCTCATCACTAATAACTGCAGCCTGAAATTAAGAATGATGCCACATACGCAAGACGTCATTTCCACATGATCATAGATATGGCACAAAAAAATAAAACATTATAGGACGTCTTTGGATGAACAAATGAGCATGCACCTTGGATGCAATAGTAATGAATGCCCTGCAGCTCTTCCAGAAACAACAGGCTCTATAAAAGCTTTGTGCTGATCGACTACATTCCTGTTTCTCAGATGTTGGTCTCCAGTCTCCTCTTTTTATTCTTCTTCTTCTTCTTCTTCTCGGTCTTGTTTTTTTTTTCTGCATGGGCAGCAGAAATCAGCACACCAAATAAACACAGAGGGGAGCGTCGTGTTTCATTCAGAGATGGCGGGGCAGGTCACGGACAATGGGAACACGTGAGGTGGGGGCGTAGAAAAGAAAGCAACGCAAATAAGCGCAGAGGCCTCGGAAAATAAGAAGAGATTCAAGAACTAAATAACGCCTTAAAGTTTTATTCAAGACCCCCCCCCCCACACACACACACACACCTCAAAAAATGATCAGTATTCAAGTTTCATTCCTCATCTACCAGAGATAGAAACTGATCCAACTCATTAGGAAGTCAACCGCAGGACCACCAGTGGTTTTACTCTTCGTGCTTTTTTAAAATCTGAACCAACCACAGACCTTCAACTGCTCTCTACAGTCCAAACAAGCGCTCAAACACAGAGAAAGGATGTCAAAAATGKCCAGAGGACATCAGAATTCAAGGGCTTTGCTACAGGCTGATCTAGGCTAATACACATACTGTTAATGAGATCAAAATCCTTTTAATTGAATGCTTAATTATGAAGTAACTCATTACATTGACAAAGCATGCTTAGAATGGGTGTTAAAAAAAAGCACAACTGTAGAAAAGAATGATGCAAAGACTTTTATTTAAAAAAAAACAAAGCAGTTCTGTAAAAAAATTATGCCAAATCAAATACAGACTCAATGACAAGTTAATGAGATCAACACGACACAGTCGAACGGTTCAGCAAGATGAGAACTCAAGAATGGTTTTTAACAACTAAACGAGACAAATAATAAATATTTCATTAACAAATGAGTGAAAAGAGCACATTAAAGTTGACAAACCAAGGGTGGTCCTCATGTGATGGCAGAGTTTATCCTTCATGTTCRGGTTGGGAGTCAGCTTGTTGTTTTTACTCTGTTACCTGTAAACAAAAACAAACAGATTCATTAATATTAAAAATCATTTCCATGATAATAGATTTAACAAATGGGTGAGGGTTATAATCTACTCTTTGATGCTTCCAGATATAGACATGAATAATTCTGAATCAATTTGAAATCGTAAAAATAAATAAATAAATCAATTATTCAGTTCTGTTAATGTCATGTTGAGATACCCAAAAGGTGCAACTCTGGAGTGTGCGCGACAGAGAGAACATGGAACTTAAAGTTTATGTGACATGCAGCTCCTTCAAATATAAAAAGTCAAGAAAACATCTTTATATTTAGAAATATTTATCCCTTTTTTTCCACATAACTGGCATATTTTCTTTTCAACTTGGTTCAGCTAAAGTGTAACAGGAAGTGACATCAAGAGGGAACTCTAAAAAGGAAACTACCATGTTTTTGTTTACTGAAAAAATATTATATATTTTTATTTATTTATCTTTTCTTCATCTCTCTGATAGCAACTCAAAAGAATCTAAAGAAACATTAGATTCTTCTCTACAGTTGGTGTTGTTAGCTATTGTAGCAAGGCTCTGTTTACATGCAGACATTCCCCTTTGACATCACTTCCTGTTACTTCACACGCAAATAACTCAACAACTGTTCATCTCAGCAGCATGAAATTCTTTTTGCAATATGCTATCAATGTTACCCTTCCAAAAATGCATTTGTATTTATTACAAAAATATGATGTCACAGGAACTTTAAAGGGAAAACTGCTGACAGGAGACACAATCAAAACCTATTGAGTACATTTCCACTCAGAGGAGGAAGAAGAAGAAGTTAGCTGCTACTGCAGGTAAATCTGAGATTCTACATTCATGGTTTAGTTTGAAGTGTGATAACAGTTTTATTTTGGTATCACAGCCTTCTGAATCATGATCAAATCTTAAATGAAAGTAACCCTAAAGGCTTGTTTGCGATTTCTTTTGTCCTGCGAGCATGTTCGGTCCAAACAATCACACCAACCTCCTGCTGCGACAGGCATCCAGGTCTTCCTGCAGCAAAGAGGTCGTCTTCTGGAGGAAGCTGACCTGCAACACCCACACACACACACACACACACACACACACACACACACACACACA